GGATTACAGACATGAGCCACTGCGCCCTGCCACCAGTTCTATAAATTTTAACACAGTTATAAGCATATAGATTTAGGTACCCATTCCCACAATTAGGGTGTAAACAGTTTCATCACCCCCCAAAACCCCCTTGTGCTATTTTTTATAGTCGTTCATTCCTCCCACCCCTAACCTCTGGCAACCACAGATTTGTTCTCTGTCCCTGTAGTCTTGTCTTTTTGAGAATTTCATGTAAAGAAATCATACGGAGGTTCTCCTTAATGTTCAGCCTAAGACATGCTCAGTGAAATGCCACAGTCTGTCCTTGTCTTGGGATGGGGGACACAGTTGCTTTTCCATGCCTTCATTATCTATGTGGTTTGCCTGCTGTTACCTGCGGCACAGTGTGGGGTTCAAGTCGGTGCCTCCATTCACTCTTTGTTATCTGCTTGATTCCACTCGAGTGGATGCTGGATTGCCAACAGAAGGGCTCTGGGTGGGGCAAGGGGTTTAGTGTGCTGGGAACCTGGCACCTAGAGGCTGAGGACAAGTGAGCATGTGTGGGTGGCTCCAAAGCCTGGCTGAGTGACTGTTCCCTGCCACCGAGGCCTCTTCTCCTACCAAGTACATGAATAAACAAGAATCAGCTGGTTTTCTAATGTGCTCGAGTCAGGCATGACAAATGACCCTGGCAGGAGAGAGAAACATGTCCCAAAAGAATGTACTTGGAGATTGTAATGAGTATGTCTATCTTCCCACACCTTGTCCAGAGATCCCATGCTCCGGGCCATGTGCTGAGCTTGGAACAAGGAAAAAGGATGCTGAGGTGGAAACATAAGCTTGCATGGGACATTTCATCTTCCTCCCCTCCTTTTTTCCCCTGAAAAAGTTCATTGCCCACTCAGCCCAGCATGAGGTTTCAAGTCCTTGGTGAGAGCCTAGAATGTACAGTGCATTCATTTGATGGTCTGGGCGGGAGTTAGGCTTCACTCCGAACCACCTAGGCATGAGATGATTGCAGGTAAAGCCCCATATACAGGGCAGAGAGTCCTGTCCTTGCAGGCTAGGCACCGTCCAGAGGTAAGGAGAATCACTTCCTCGGGACAAAAAGGCAAAATGTTACCTTAGAGACTCTTGATGGCCCCTGCATCCCGAGGACCCCACCGCAGTGGATGTGGTTCCCAGGAGAGCTGAAGGGCTTTCTCTCAGGACCACACTGCACCATTAACTGAGACAAGGTCTCCTGCAAACATTTTATGTTTTAAGGACTGGGATCTGACTGGCAGAAGTCAATGACCCAGGTCACCGGAGATGGGAGGAGCATGGAAAATCACCTAATTATAGCAAATGCCGAAGTTTGGGACTGGGTTCTATTAGGAAGCAGCCCGTCCATTGTAGGGAGCCTAAGTGTTTTGCTGCCTTGGATCTGGTGAAGGAAAAATGAGGCCAGTGTCAGAGAAAAATCAAAGCAACTAGTGGCTCCAGGGTTAGGACTAAGGTGTGTTTGGGATTTGAGGCGTTGACCTGTTTTGGCTAGAAAATCAAGCTCAGGAAATTGTCAAATTAGTGAGCCAATCCTCCGGGACTTATAAAAAGGACCACCTCTCTCCTTGTATCAGAAGGTGCCCTTTCCTCAGGCTTTCTAAACCAGGACATCTTCCTGCATCCAGAGAAAATGATGAGCCAGCAGTCCAGCAGGACCTCCCACGTCGCCCAGGGCTCCAGTGGCCACTCTGCCATCCTGTGTCTGACCAGAGCCATGGTGGTGCCATCAGATCCATCGGCCTCATGCTCTGGGGGGGGCAGTGCTGCTGCGACCTGTGCCATGACAGGGGGCACCTTTGGCAGCAGGAGTCTGTACAGCTTTTCGGGGAGAAAGAAGATCTCACTGAGGGTGGCTGGAGGTGCTACCCAGGCTGGGGGCAGGGCCAGGGGTGCTGGGGCGCCTTTGGAAGCAGTCTGTGTGGGGCTGAAGGAAGGGATACGAAAAGTGTCTTTGGAGGAAGCTCCTTCAGCATTGGAGGGAGACCTAGTGGCTTTGGAGGAGCGCCTGGTGGAGCCAGGGGCTTTGGAGGTTTGGGGGCCTTTCCGTTTGGCATCCAGGAGGTGACCATCAACCAGAGCCTCTGGTAGCCCCTGAACATGGGGATCGATGCCTAGATTGAGGTGAAGACCCAGGAGAGGGAGCAGATCAAGACCCTCAACAACAAATTTTCCTCTTTCATTGACAAGGTGAGTGTCTGTGGTTGGGGAGGGGCAGAGGCCCTGAGAGCCCCTGGAATCCCAGGCATGAGAGGCCTGGGTTTGGAGAGCAGGTCTGCTCCTGAGCTGGGGACTGGAAAGAGCATGACTCTCTCCTCCATGGTTGATCACAGGTGCGGTTCCTGGAGCAGCAGAACAAGGTGCTGGAGACCAAGTGATGCTTCCTGCAGGAGCAAACGGCCACCTCCAAGGCCAGTGCCAATGACCTGCAGCCCTTCTTTGAATCCTAATTGGCTGCCTCCAGGCTCACCTGGAACAAGCTGTTGATGGAGCAGGGTTGACTGGAGGGGGAGCTGGGCACCATGCAGGCACTCGCAGAGGCATATAAGAGGAGGTGAGAGGCAGTGCTCCCGGTGGTGAGGCTCAGGTGTCCAGAGCGTGAAAGTCATCTGGCCTCTGCGGGCATCGGCAAGGAACTGGGGCAATATGGATAAGGAAGGTGCTTGACAGGGCTTATTGGTGGACCTGCCGTGCAGCACCGTGTAAATGAACAAAAGCTCTGCAGCCAGACTGCCTGGGTTTAAGCTTGACTATGTTTCTTTCTAACTGCACAATCATAGGTAATTTATTTAACCAATCTGTGCCTCAGTTTCCTCATTTATAACATGGAGGTGATAACTGTACCTACCTTAAAAATTTGTTTGAGAGCTAAATATTTTAATATATGCTGTTCAAACAGTGCCCGGCAAATAGTGACACATTATTAATTAATTAGTTAATACTAATGAAAGGCCAATCAACCAAATAGCTTGTTAATAATGCTGGTTTTATTATTACTGAATGACATGAACTCGAAGGTCATAATAATGAAAGGCATTAAATGTCTCCTCTGTGCTGGCCCTGTGCTTGGTGCTGGGGCTACAGCTGTGCATGTGGAGCTCAGGGGGCCAGTTGTTCCCATAGGTCCCTGTGGCTGGGGTAGCTGGCTGCATTAGCATGGCAGAGGCAGAAGAGTGGGGCCCTTGGTCATCGTGGCTGTGGTGTAGGGCCTGGACTGAGTGAGGGGCCTGGGAAAGAGAAGCTCGGGGGTGCTCTCTGGGAGCTCCCACCCTGTGGGACTGGAAGGGACATTAACTTCAGTGCTGACTGAGGAACATTGAGAGACCCCAGGACTGTGGGAGGGGCTCAGGCCTCAGTGTGGGAGATGGGAAGCCATATGGGAGCACATCAGAGGACCAAGCATGAAGAACAGGTGGGAGAATGGAGATGGCATTCCATGCAGGGTAACTGGGATTGGAGGAGGACAAGGTCTCATGCCGTTACTTCCATCACCACCATCCTGAACATTTATGCCAGTGCGAGAAAGGCTGGGAGAACTCAGGGCTTCATGGATCCCTATGACTCAGAGAAATTTCTGCTTGGCTCACCCCTGAGCTGGACTGGCCAGGGCCCCTTCCTAGCACAGCCCTGTGGTACAGCTGCGGCTGACCCTTGCTGCTCCTCCTGGAGGAACCGTGAAGAGCGGAGCAAGCGTGCAGCAGCTGAGAAGGACTTGGTGCTTCTCAAGTAGGTAAGCAAGGATGGGGGCTGGATGGGGATTGGGACTGGGGCTACAGCTGCCAAAGCAGGTTGAACAGTGCTCCTCAGGGGTCAGGCCGAATTCCCACCGTGCCCGTGAGACTTCCCAGCATCCCAGGACTTTCTCAGTGCTGCCAGCCTGGTCACTTCTCAAATGTCACACTCTGCTTCTCTCATCACTAGATCAGTGCCAGAGGGGCCTGGGTGATGGGGGCAAAAAGTGATGAGGAGAGAGAGATATATATGGAGAGTCTCCCTGAACCTGAGAGACTTCCCGGGAGAACATGCCCCAGGGTCACATGAACACTTACAGGTCCCCCATCACTGGTGTCTTATGTATCTTTTTTCAAAGGCAGAAATTCTGCTGTCTTTTTTATTGGTTCTTGTGTCTGAGCGGCTTCCAGAGCCTATAAGTAAGCCAGTTGCCAAACTGCTTTGAGCTCTTTGGAATATAATGCCACTTTCCTGCTGTGATGAGGCATTAGTGTCATACATAAGAATTCTCTTTAATTCCTGAGTCTCATTTTCAAGTCCCTTTTTTTGACATTCACATATTTATTCTCGGAACAAACTAACTTATCTTCTCAGAGAATAGAAAACAGAGATTTCACTCAGTGACAAAGATGGACACAGTCAGTTCACCCTGTCCCCCCATCTACTTAGAAAATCCCCTGGGGCAGGGATGCCTAGAGCACACAGCACCCGTTGGTGCGGGGCTGTGCACAGGTCTAAAGGCTTGCGACTTTCTTTACCATTTAAGCAGGAAAACAGCTGTCCAGATGACAGTAAGATTCCACTGTCCGTAATCATGGTGCCAGGTCTCCTGGGGCATCTAGGGCAAAAATGCTGCTGCAGTTTATACAGTTACACAGTCAAGTCTGAGCCAAAGGAGGTTCCATCAGGCAGCCAGGTTTCTGTTCAGTCTGGGCAGCAATGCCAACTGGCTGCCCCCATAGCCTGGCATGAGCTGATGGCCCACTGCAATCCCAAAGCAAAGAAGGGCGGAGCTGGACCAAAAAGCTGTGGTAATTTGCTCTCCCTGCCTCCAACAGCATCGTCCTCTCCTTTTGCAGCCCCACACGCAGGCCTCCCGACCTGAGGGTCTGGACTAGGGAGTCTGGTTGTTTTCCTAAGCCCCCGTAACCCAGGAGTGAGGACCTGGAAAGAGGGATGTGAAGGTTCTGAAGAACAGGCATCAGGCAGCTTCGGAGATGCCCTCAGCCCACAGGAAGAGTGCTGTGTCAGGCAAAGATGGTCTCTTCCTGGTGCTTCTTGGTGAGGATGGTGCCTGGCTTATGCTGGGCATCTGGGTGACTGGCTAGCTTGGGGAGACAGGAAGACACTGGGCTTTCCAGGATGGCTTGCTTCAGCTCGTAGAACACAGCAGAGTCCTCTTTTGTGAGGAAGGTGATGGCCACCCCACTCTTGCCTGCTTGTCCTGTGCAGCCAATGAGGTGGATGTAATCTTCAATATTTTTGGCCATATCATAGTTGACAATTATAGACACATCTTGGATGTCAATACCATGACCAGCCACATCTGTAGCCACCAAAATATCCTTGGACCCAGCCTTGAGGTTGGACAATGCAAACTCTAGCTGCTCCTGGCCTTTTCCACTGTGCAGTGTGCAAGCATTGTACCCCATCTTCTCCAGGGATTTGGCCAACGCGTCGCAGTCCTTCTGGCTGACGAAAATAATGATGGGTGGATCAAAGCCTTGCTCCAAGATTGCCAGCAGCTTTTTCTTCTTTTCTGACTCTGACATGAGGAAGACCTTCTGTTCCACACACTCATGGGGCTTGCCTGAGGAGCCAATGTACACCACAGCAAGTCGCCGAAGATAGCTCCTGTCCAGACGCTCCACCGCTGGGAGCACGGTAGCTGTGAACACGACTGTTTGGTGGTACTTACGTTTTCCCGACTCAAAGTTGGCCAGCATCTTCTCAGGGTTGTCAGCCTCATCTGTGTCTGGCTTCTGGTTGCTGACAGGCATGTGCTCCAGGATCTTCTGGACATCTGGCTCAAAGCCCATGTCAATCATCCTATCTGCCTCATCCAGAATCACATAGGTACAGCGGCTCAGCACCAGGGAGCAGTTCTCCAGAACATCAATCAAATGCCCAGGGGTAGCGATCACAATCTCACAACCCATGCGCAGCCTGAAGCCCTGGTCTTCTCTGAAGATACCACCAGTGACAGCCACAGTGCGGATATCTAGGGGCTTTCCAAATTTGACAGTCTCTTCCTCAATCTGTTGAGCCAACTCACGGGTGGGAGCCAGGATGATGGCATAAGGGCCTTGGTCTGACTCTTCGATCCTGTCATTTTTGAGAAGTGTGGTGATCCAGACCAGCAGTGGGATGGGGAAGGCTGCTGTTTGCCACTGCCAGTCTCAGCCACACCAATGATGTCACGATTCTGTAGCCCAGTGGGAATTGCCTGACGCTGGATAGGTGTTGGTTCCTTGTAGCCACACTTATCAAAGACCTCCAAGATGTGTGGGGGCAGAGAAGAGTCTTTCCAGGATGGGATGGGATTGGGGATCTTGCCACCTTTGGTGGTTATGCTGTAGTCCTCACAGAAGATCCGCCAGTCCCTGTCCGTCATCTCATCTAACTTTTTCTGAGACCAATGACGATCATCCCAGAGCTGCTTGGCTTCCTTCTTACGAAGTTTGCAGAGTCTTGCCTCCTCCTGCTCCTTTTCTTCCAGGGTTCGCCTCTTCTCCATTAGGTCTCCATAGAAATGTGACTGCTCTCATTTCTGCTGCTTGAGGTCAGTGTCTGCAATGAAGCCTCGCCCTAACAACTGCACCCGGCGCCGTTCTTTGTACAGGGGGTTGTAGTCAATGGATATGTCCTCAGATGCATCCCATTCAAAAACAAACTTTCGGTCATTGAAATGTCTCGTTCGGTGCTGCTTTTTGATGCCACCCCAAGTAATGCTCTTTAATGGCATGCAGTCCCTTGCTCTTATCCTTCTCTTCCCAGATCTTCTGCCGCCCTTGCTCATCCTCATTTCCACTGGTCTCTCGCTCCATCTTCCCCCTGCATTCCTGACATTCCCATTCCTGAGGATCTTCCAACATCTTCCTGCCCAAGTCTTGGAATTGTTTTCTTTTCTTTCTCTCTTCTTCAAACATCCTCTGCTGCTCTTCCACTGCCTGCTGCCGTCACTTTAGAGCTTCAGCCTCTCGTTCTGCTTTGGAGAGGAACGTGGGCTTAGCCTCAGCTTCTTCTTCAGCCTTTTTCTTGGCCAGAAGTTCCTCCAGGGATAATGGCTGGGCCTTAGGCTTCTTATCACCATGTTCATCCTCTTCATCCTTCTTAGAGTCTCTGTCCTTCCGAAATTTAAAGTCTTTTCCTCGGCCAGGAGATAAACTGAATCATTTCTGGTCCTTGTCCCATCTGTGCCCATCCTTGTCTCGATCTTGGTCCTTCTTATTATATTCTCGCTCCTTATCTCGTTCTCATTCTTTGTGCCATCGTTCTCTTTCTGCAGATTTGGAACGGGAATGAGAGTGAGAATAGCTGCCTCCTTGATGTCTATCCCTTGAACGATGCTGTTTCCTATCTTTAGATGGGGAAGACTTCCGGTCCCGGTCTCTATCCCACTCTCCGTCAGGAGTCCGTGATCGCTTCCTTTCCTCTTTGGAAGGTGATGCATCATGGTCCTTTTTGTCAGCCAGCTCTCCTGCTATCACCCTGAGTCTGAACTGCCCAATGTGGCCTCAATGTCGCGGAGCTGTCACCATCTTCAAGTCACTCTTAACCTAAGTTTAATGACCAGGTAAAAGTGGTTTCCATTTCACTTCATAACAATTATGGACAAGTACAGGCTTTAAGCAAATGAAAATATGCCAGTCGCTGGTCTGGTGATCTCCTTCCCCACATGGCCAAAGTGGACCTGGAGGTGAAAGTGGAGAGCCTGATGGATGAGATCAACTTCCTGCAGCCCCTCTCTGAGGCTATAAGGCCCCCTTCCTTCCCAATATATGTTTAAGACATGATTGATTCTCTTAAGCCTTAATTTTTTCATTCAGTGCTTTTTACCTTCACATCTATTACCACAACATCTACTCAGATTCTGAGACCTTTGAAACTATTTATCTATCAAATATTTTAACTCCCTTTCTTTTTTCTTTCTCCTTTTCTGTGTCCCCCACATCTATGATTGCCAGTGCCTATGGATAACATTCTTAGAGTCTCCTCCCCCATCCAAGGTACCTGGACAAATAGACCCATGCACCTCTGCAGTAGGATTGGAGGACAGACACCTTTTCATTCTTTAGCCTGCTGGCTGAGATTTTGGCCTGCATCTTGGTCTTCGTGTTTTTTAGTGGCATCACTATAAAGCTAACTTTAGGGGTTTGTGGTAGGGGCCTGTCCATTAGACGTGAGCAGAATTGGCTTTGTGTCTGCAGGAGTATAGCCAGCTACTGTCACAATCAAATGACATGTCCATCATCCTCTCCCTCGACAACAACCGGCACCTGGACCTGGAGAGCATCATCACTGAGGTCCACTCCTAGTACGAGGAGATCGCCTGGGAGAGTAAGGCTGAGGCTGAGGCCCTGTACCAGACCAAGGTGGGTGAGTCAGGAACTTAGAGGAATCAGCTTCCTCTTGGGCCCTTCATTCCTGCCCAACTTTGTCACCTAGGCACGAAACCCCTATATTGTCCTCCAGCAGAGCTGCGACCCTCTGAAAACTGGCTCACAGAGACACAGGCTTCCCATAGCCTCCAGGACCCTGGGAGGGTTGATGTGCCAGATAATGTGATTAAGCATTTGGGTGATCAGTAAGAGCCTGACACTGGGGTGTTGGATAAGCTAATTACCCTGATTTGATCATTGCATGATCTATACATGTATTAAAACATCACACTGTACCTCATAAACATGTATTACTATATGCGTCAATTAAAAAAGAGCTAAACAAAGGGTTTGACAAATCATAGCTGTTGTTACCATCATCATGGTCAATACCATAGGGGCCAGAGTGAGCCCATAGAATGCCTTTGTGCGAGTTAGAAAAAGTGCCACTCTGGGCAGATGCAGCAATGTGGGCCACGGTGTGGCAAGCACAGTGTGGGTTGGGCTTTAGCTGCCACCTGCTTCCTTGGTCAAAAGTGGAAGCCCTGCTCACCGCCACCATTACTATCTGATGATGGTACTACCATCATCAGCACCACCACCACTGCCCTCCTCACCTTCATCATCATCATCAGCTGAACAAGTTGATCAACGAAGCAAACCCTGCAGGACAGGCAGCAGTCTTTCCCACCCCTTTGGTTAGGAGAAACTTCTCAAACTGAGCCCAGGTGTCCCCCTTCCATGGTATGTTCTGGAGGTGCTCCAGCCTTTGAACATACACCAAAGCTTGTCCCCTGGGGTCAGACCTCATATTTCCCCCTCTTCATGGTTGACAATTTCCTCTTCCTCCCTCCTCTCAGCTTGGGGAGCTGGAGACCATGGCCAGCAGGCACAGCAATGACTTGAGGAACACTAAGAGTGAGATTGCTGAGCTTACCAGGATGATCCAGAGGCTGCGGGCAGGGATAGAGAGCGCCAAGAAGCAGGAACCCTGTAACAAAGGAACAGGGCAGCCCAGGGGTCCCCGGGACGGGCCATACTCTGAAGAATGCTCCCTTCAACTCAGGCTTGCTACCTGAGATTCTGGTGGGAATACACGAGGGGCCGTCAGGAGGTCGGGCCAGAACCCTATCATTTCCTGACCCTCCACCCACACAGGTGCACGAGGGCCTTACATCACATCCATCCTCCAGCTCAGACGGGCCCCAGGTCTCTGGGTGACCACCCGGAAGGCCTAGGTGAGCCTGTCATTCTTAGGCTCGGTTGCACTGCACTGCCCACTAGCTTTTAACCCCCATTTCAATACTCCCAATGCAACTGGAATGTCCTTTCTCATCCTCTTTAGCAGTCTCCCAAACTTCCTTTTTCTTCGAGAATGGGCCAAACATCTTTTCCTCTTTGAACCCCCTCCTCCTGTGAAGCCATCATCCTTCCCTCCTCAGCATCTCTCCTCTGAGTTCCATGGTGCCCTGTGCTTTTCCACATCATAGCCCGGCCTCCTGCTACCTTAAATGCCTACTCTTCTGTTTTTCCTCCTTAACGGTGAGAGCATTGGGTGCAGGGGCTGTGTCTTGTTCATTGCTGTCTCCTGGCACCCAGCTGTGAAGGACAGAGGGCAGGGATTAGGGAGAAAGTGAGTGAGTGATTCAGACACTGAGGGTGACTCCTCTGATCTCACCACTCATTGCTGCTTGCCTCAGACAGAGACTCTGAGTTCTTTTCCCCCAAACTGAGACTACTTGAAACCTCCCTCAAAGTTACTTTCCAAAGGGATGCTCCTCTCCAGCCTCAGTGGGGTTGGGGAGTCCTGGGGAGGGACAGACAGATGGGGACCTGTGCTCACCCAGCATATGGCTAGGTGAGTCCAGAGGTCCAGCACACTTCCCTTCCCTCCTCCTGTCCCAGAGCAATAAATAACCTGCAGGTGGCCATCACCGATGCTGAGCAGAGGGGTGAGTTGGTTCTCAGGGATGCCCGGGCCAAGCTGGCAGAGCTCAGGGAGGTCTCGCAGCAGACCAAGGACAATCTGGCCGGGTGCTCTGTGAGTACCAGCAACTCATGAGCCTGAAGCTGGCCCTGGACATGGAGATTGCTGCCTCCCATAAGCTGCTGGGCGAGGAGTGCAGGTGGGTAGGGGACCATGGCTGTGGCAGAGAACCTGCCTTGAGAAGCAGGCTCATCAGAACTTTATGTCCCTGGTTAGATCCATAGTGATTTTGAGCCTAACTGCACTGGCCCATGTCTTCCCTCTCATATTCCCAGTGGCCCCCACAGCATAGGAGGGGACAAAGGAGGGCCTTAACAAATGTTTGTTAAACTGCTGTCACTGCCTAGCACGCTCCCCTTCTCCTAGCTCCTTTAAGGCTCGGGGTTGCAAACTTGTTTTAAATTTCCAGCAGTAGATAAATGTTTTACTTGAAATGGGCATGCAGTGGATCCCAGGGGTAAATGCCAATCAAGTTTACATGTTCAGAGTCGCTGAGGTCATGGGATCATGGGGGGCATCTCACTGATTCCCTGTCACCTCCCACCGAGATATCATGAAGTCCACCCCACCCTGTCTTACCACTCTCCTCTGATTCCCTATCTTAGTTTTTCATTATTGCTTAGGAAGTTCCTCCTGAGATCTGACTTCAGCTCAGCTGCTGCAATTCACATTTGTGTTTTCTGGATAGTCTCTGATGGAGCCAGGGAAACAGCACTGGTTTGGGAGACCTTCCCACTACTGGGTGATCATTTGGGGTTTACCTGTATTCACTGTGCGACCTCAGACAGATTCCATCCCCACTTTGAGCCTCATGTTCCTCATCCTTAAAAAGAGAGCATTGGACTAATCTTTGAAGTGTTTCCTAACACTTACATTTAGAGTGGCAGGTGGCTCTATGTTTCTAAAATTTATATTTTTCTTTTTCTTTCTACAACAGGATGGCTGGGGAGTGTCAAAGCTCGGTGTGCATTTGTAAGTGTGCGTACTATTTCCCTTGAGGTTGGGTCATACCATTGCTAGTGGGATACATAACCACTCTCCTCAGGATGGAGTGGCAGGAAAATAGACAAGGAAAATGGGTCTTTATAAACAAAGGGATTTCTGAGTTTTCCACATTCCCACCCCTTGGAGCTGGGAAAAGAAAAGTGCATTCACTGTTGTTCCTTAAGTCTGATTGCCACAGCTGAGCTCACCTGCTTACCACGTACTGTGGCCACTTTGCCTCCTAATATTCCTGTGCCTCTCACTCCCTGTCCCTTAGCCCTGGGCACCTCCACCTTCTCTCCATCCTTGTCTAATTCCTTACCACCTTCCAGCACCTCATGGGGCAGAGGGGTGACTGGCCATCTCCTTGCAGCTGTGGTTCACAACACCAGCACCACTGGTTCGAGGGTGGCCAGCCGCAAAGGCAGAGGCAGTGGCTCCAGCATCTCCAACCGTGGAAGCCAGAGTGTGGCCAGGGTCAGAGTGTAGGTAGGGGCCTGAGCATCCAGTCCACCAGCAGATAAGTCCCTGGGGCCAGCACTGGGGAGCCAGCAGTGCCTCCTTTTCCTCAGCCAGGATCATCCAGAACACCACCAGTAGCAGCCAGCATGCCTACACCAAATTCTGAGCTGGTGCCTCCCCACTTCAGCAGATGCCCCAGCCATCCCAGCTCCCACCTGCTTAGTACTCTGTCTGCATCACTGGGTTCCTCAGTTCCTAGGCCCCAGACACCTCAGGCTCAGGACAGATCTTCTTTCCCCTCCTGTGTGTGCGGAGCCTCTATCAGAAGGTACCTCACTGGTTACAGCCTCTCTGCTCCCACTTCTGCCCTCAGCTTGCTTTGCAATTTGCCCTCACTTTCTCCCTCTGCAAGGTCTCCATTCATTCCTCTCTAATAAATTGCTGTGTGTTTCTCTGCATTTTCTTTGACAGTCAGTGGGTTTTATTGATTGTCACTTTGCAGGGTTGGTAGGGTAGAGAGGCAGGGGAAGGAAAAGAGTGGGGAAGAGAAAGAAACTGTGTCCTCAGAGAGCAACCTGTTGGGAGCAGAGGGCATCATAAGGCACAGACAAAGAGGGGTGAGGGAGGAGGAGCCTGTGGCACCTGTCGGGGTGGAGGAGGAGCCAGGTCACCTACCACTCCTGGAGCCCTGCTCTCTGCCCTGGTTTCTGATATCTCATCTGGCCTCTTCATTTTGGTGATCTGCTCCGACATTCCTCCCCTGGCTAATGGGCTGAGCATTCCCAGGCCCCTTTGGCTCCCCGCTCTGTGGCCTGTCTCATTCCTGCACACCCTACAGCCACCTGAGCATCACTTTGCTACTGCAGGCTTTGTGCCACAAACCTGCACTGGCCCAGTGGTGTCCTGGTCTTCAGTCTCTTCTAACTCACTGCCGGATCCTCAAACCCATAATCCCTCCAGCTGAGCTAGTCCTTTCACCCCCATCAGAAGAGGGGGTCCAGGGCCTCTGGATTTCCACACCCTCTTGGCCCATAGCATGCTCCCATGTCCCCCTACCCCCAGTCACTTTGCTTCTCAAGTCTGGCTCAAATGTGCAGAGAAGGGACTCAGGAATCCATGGGCTGTGGCCTGGCCCTCTCTCCTGGACACTCTGCAGCCTCCAGGGTCTGTTTCTGCCGGCTCCTGGGGGCAGCAGACATCTCTAGGAGTTGTTGGTCTGTTTGACTCAGGGCAGGGGGCACCAGGGCTCCTGGTGCTTCTGTGATTCTTCTCACTTCTCCTAGGGAGGAGC